TTTATAAACATTAACAGATTTAAGAAATAGAGTTGTCGTATGTCGAATATTTTTGTCTCCCGGAACAGTTGTTCACTAGGAAAGTGTCTGTTTTTACTAAACATTATTTTTAATATCCATTTTTGAATAACGTTTAATTTCTTTAAGTGACACTCATCAACACTTCCCCAACCCACGATTCCATAACTTAATTGCGACTGAACCAGTGCAAAATAAATGGTTTTCATTTGCTCTACTTCAAGATACTCTTTTAGATGGTAGAACCGTGCAATCAGATATCTCGTTTTAGAAAGGATATTATTTACTTGTTTGTCCCACCGTAGATGTTGATCTATTATTATTCCAAGGTATTTGATATTGTCCACTCTTGATATGCAAATATTTTGGCCCACATTTAAAAAATAATAATCGGGTAAGTTAGAGCTATACGAGGAAAATGAAATAAAATTGGTTTTAACCTGATTAAGAGTGAGTTTGTTGTTCTGAAACCACTTAAAAATATCATTCAAATCCGATTCTGCTTTAGATTTAAGATCCTGCCACGAGTTTCCTTTGTAAAAAATAGCAGTGTCATCAGCAAAACTTACCAGATGACCTTTCCAGTCTGTCCTTAAAAGGTTATTTATATAAAGGGTGAATAAAAGCGGACCCAGAACTGTCCCCTGAGGAACACCACAAGTCACAGCTCTACGTCCACTCTTAAAACCATCAATGTTGACATACTGGGTTCTTCCGGTTAAATAGCTTTGGAGAAGATTTATTACGCTGCCTCTAATGCCAATCTGATAAAGTTTTTGAATAAGTTTTTCGTGACAGACTGTGTCAAAAGCCTTGCTAAGATCTATAAATACACAAAGAGATGGCTTTCGTTGGTCCAGTGCCTCATTTATTTCATTTGTAAGACTAGCTATTGCATCTTCGGTGGACTTTCCGATCTGAAACCAAATTGTTTTGGTGATATTAACTTTTGTTTTTCTAAAATTAAATTTACTCTTTGTTTTATTGCCTTTTCAAAAATTTTTGAGATATTAGAAATAAGTGATATTGGTCTATAATTGCCCAGCTCAGTTTTTGATCCACTTTTAAACAAGGGCTTAATTTCCCCAATTTTCAAAACATCAGGAAAGTTACCGATACGAAAACCAAGATTAATTAAAAACGATAAAATTGGCGATATTTCATTTGAAATTTCTTTAAGAGTCTCGGAGCGTATTCCATCTGGACCTGGAGCTTTTTAAGTTTCAATTGCTTGATAATCGTCATAATTTCTCGATCCGATGTTTCTTTTAAGAAATATAAACTTTTATTGGACCAACTCATTTGTTCTCTGTAATTTTGACAAGGGCTGATATTTTTAGCTAAATTCTCTCCCACTTCACAAAAAAAATTATTAAATTGGTTTGCAATCTCAGTTTTGGTTTGTAATAATATGTGATCCTGACGTCTTAATGTTTTCAATTTGTGTTTTTTGACATGATTTGTTGCATATTTGGTTGACACACTTCCATAGAGCATCAGATTTATTTCTATTTTTATTGATTTGGTCCTGAGCAGTTTGTGTCTTACATTTTTTTATTGCTTTTGTAAGTTGATTTTTGTAAATTTTATAACGATCTTTAAGATCAGCATTTTGAGGTTCCTTCAGAATTTTGTTATACAGTAAATGTTTTTCTTTTATCTTGTTTAATAGAGCTTTTGTTATCCACTTATTTTTACCATTTTTTGTGTTTGTTTGTTTAATAGTTTTTGTGTTTTCTGAGATTTTATTTTGAAGTATATGTAAAAAGTTCGAGACTGCAAGATTTAAATCCTGAGCATTAAAAACCGTTTCCCACCCCTCGTTTCGCAAAGCCCTTCTTAGTTTTTTATAGTCTGTGTATGATTTTGTTCGTTCGTTTATTTTCTGTGTATTCGTAATTGACGTTTCAAATGTGAATGCTATTGGATGGTGGTCCGTGATTTTATAATCTATAATATATGAATTAGAGTTCTTGAAACAATTTTCATTTTCGCCCTTAACATATATGTGATCAAGACAAGTTTTCGTCAAGGGTCTTGTGTAGTATTTATTAATATATGAGGTGTAGCCGTAAGCTGCTAAGACACTTTTGTAGTTTTCTGTAGGATTTTTGTTTTCTTTTAATAAATTTATATTGATATCTCCGATTATAATGTGTTTTTTTCTATTTTTGCTCAAATCGAGGTAATCAGAGAAATCTTCTACAAAGACGTTTTCATTGACTGATGGTGATCTGTATATGCATGTCAAGAGAAATTTATGTTGATTTTCACCAATTTGAAGTTCAATGCATTTTACGTCACCAATAAATTTGAAGGTAGACTCTATTTTAATTGATTCCTTGACAAAAACTACAATTCCATCACACCTATTTAATGTTCCTTCACTATATATACAAGAATATCCAGGTAGGTTATAGATTTGTAAGTCGCTTATTATATGTGTTTCTGTTAAAACGATTATTTCAAATTTTTGTTTAAATTGTTCTAAAAAACACAAAAATTCCGTGTAATTTGTCTTGATACCACATATATTGAAATGAATTATTTTGAAATGTGTACCTGCAATAATTTGTTGATTAAAATATTGTAAATTTTTTATCAACTGTGGAACTACAATATTTTCGTTCAAATCTCTGAGGAATTGATCCATTTTATTTCAAGATAGCTAGCCCAAAACTATTTACTAAATATTAATTAACTAACCCAAAACCACTCTAATAAATTCAATTATTTAACTTATAAATAAATTAACCTAATCTATAATGAAAGAACAACCAATATTTAAAGAAATATCAATTCAATTATTATTTCTGTTCTTAGTTTTTTTGGATCTCAACCCGATTCCGCTTCCTCGAGTTGGAGTGTGCTTCGGTTTTCGTTTTTTTTGCTTTTTGTCTATCTAAGACTTCCACTGCTTCTTCTGGAATAAAGTCCTCAGATCCAGACTCGTTGCTCGAACTTCCGGTAACGCTGTTTATGTCCTCTAATTCATTTGCAGAGTATTGCTGACCGTCAATTTCTAACTTAAAGCCTTTTATTTTTGCTTCCTTATTTTCTTCACGAGCTTTTTTCATGTGCTTCCTTAGTATCTTTAACTCTTCTCGGTCTTCTTTGCAGTAATCGTGAGAGACTGAAATTCCCTGTGCCCCTTCAGAGCTTTCAATTTGTCAAAATCTTGAAAAATTTCAGCTTTTTTCAGGTATGTCAAGAACTCTATTAATACAGGTGAGCCTTCTTCCTTTCCTATAAAGTATATATTATTTATATCACGTACGGTGAGTGAAAGCGAAAAAAGCTCGTTTAATTTTTCTTGAGTTTTTACAAGCAACTCTGCTTTATTTTGCACTTTAAATCCAAACAACAGTACGTTGTTTCTTCTTAATTTCCTTTCTATAAGGCGAGAATTCGACTCCAAATTTTTAATTTTCCTATTGGCAACTTTTATTTGAGCTGTAGCCTTTTGCTCGCTGCTTTGGATTTGAGCACATAGAGTGATTGTCTGATTTTTATTTTGCTCAGCAAGCATTTTGTACATTTCGGCAAAGGTTTTTGGCTCGTTTTCCATAATTGCGATCTTTTTCGTTATTTCGGTGCACAGTCAGGTACAGGTACTGTTGCAGGTGTGAAGCGACTGAAATGACCACCATTCGGTTTGCTTATCAGAACTCGACTTCGTTGGTACTAGCGTACTACGACGCGATTAAGTACTATTGGTTCAAGAGTGGAATTTCAGTACCGCCTCGATACACAAAAATGGTATCTATGTTATTGTCACTTGTCCCAAGACATTTGTAGGTTAGTCATCTGTTTCGTCTATTATTCTATAGTTCAGTACAAAAACCTCCTACCTTTTCAAAATCTGGATTCTTCATCACTTAAACTAAACTTTTATTCCAAATTTACTTTTTGATTTCACTTTAAAACTGCTTAAAAACTGATTTACTTGGAGCAAAAATTAAAATGACCTTCAGGAGCCGTAGAAAAGTTTTATTCATATATATATATATATATATATATATATATATATTTGTAATCAGGAAGAAAAGGTCTTTCATTTTATCGCAAAATATACAGGGTGTTCCATTTAAAAAAGTCGAAGTTGTCTACGTTTCTGATAATGTTAAAAGAAAATATAGAAAAAAACTGTCAAGTTTTGTATTTTCAATTTTTTTCTATCTTAAATAGTAAAGGCTGTAGGTATGGTGCCAAATATAATCAAATACCCTGTACCTACTTGTTTTTTTTTTTTTTTGAAAAGATTATTATTCTCGCCTTTTTGAAGTAATCACTTCTGTCGTGTGGTCTAAAAGGTCCTGTGAGTCTGAGAATAAATATTTAGACCGCATCTTGCTACGATGAACCGTTTTCCAGCTAAGGCGGATCAAAGTTATGAATGCCTAGGCTGTGACGTCACACCGGCTTCGAAGGCACAGTATTAACACATGCAGGAATTTTCCAGAACAAAAGCCAACGATCTCACTAGAGCGAATTGCAACTACTCAAAGTATATGGCACGGTTCACTGGCGACTTAACGAACAGAAGGCTGCGATTTTGGCGGTTACCCGGTGTGACGTCACAAGTTCCCGCCAATCTATCTTCATAAGGGATTTTCTCGGATACTATTTTCGAATATAGGACTGCGATTTTCACGAGAAATCTTAGATTTTTTTTTCGATTTAAGTAGCCTAAGTTTGGGTCAGACCCCCTTCAACCACTGTTAGGATTTTACTCTTTTCTCTAAACAAAATGCTGCGAATGTGAAAGTCTTCTAGGTTACCAATTTTCAAGAAGTCGATTAATCGACGTTCTCCGTATTTTAAATGGGAAATAAAAATACTTTCAACCTTCATTGTGATTTCCATCTGGCAAGATTTAAGCATCAACTTTTCTATGCCAACATTCTCTTTTATATAGGGCAGTAACCAGCCTCACATAATCAATAGTAATCAATACTGGACCATAACTCAATTATTTCCAGGTGGACCTAACCAAAAACTCTTCCGAAGGAACCCTTACTAACCACCCATCCTTTGCCGACTCTTCCCCTCTGACCAACTTGTCAAAAACCGCCGACGATGGCGTAATGCAATTGCCGGTAACTTCGACTACAGAAAATGCAGAGCAAGAAATTCAAACCGTCCCAGACTACGAAAATTTCCCCAATGAGTTGGCCTTCTATCCGAGAAAGGGCTCGAAAGCGACTCTTGGCACTTTTGACATCAAGTTTATGGAAACCGCACGAAACGTTCAAAAAGGTACAGAAATTTGGGACAATATACAATTGTCCGATGTCACGGAAAACCAAGCTGAAATGGCTCAAAAGGAGTTGAATGAATGGCCGATCAACAGTGAGTTGGAGAAACCCAAAAGTGGAAGTACCCGCCTGCAAGAACCGAAAGCGACCCCTGGCACTTTTGACATAGAATTTCTGGCAGCCGCACGAAACGTTCAAAAAGGTAAACAACGTCGCAAATCTCCTTTGCCTACCGAATATGACAGCGAACAAAGTCGTGAAATGGGAAACTCCAATTCTTATGAGCTTCCAGGGGGCGGCATTACAGATGCTGGACAGTACATTTTGATGTGTTTGATAAAGAGCCTAAAGATGCACGCCTTGGGAGAGAACCTAGAGGTAAATAATTTGTGTTTCAGATGAAATAAAATTGATTTAAATATTTTGTAGGTCTTGGATGAAATGCTGGAAAAAATTGTCTACGGGGAATATGTGCACATCAATGAAGTTGTCAGAGAGCTCAAATATTTTACTGAGGTTTGAAATTAATGTATTTTTATTGCATAATAATTAATAATTTTCTTTTGGTAGATGTGGGATAAGGTTGATCCGCGAAAGACCGGATGGTATGCGCAAAAAGTAAAATTATTGCTGGAAAAATACTTCCATGGTTACAATTTCGATCACATTGATGGTGACCTAAAGCAGCAGGTGAGTCCTCTGAAACTCAATATTTTTAGTGATTGCCATCAAACAAATTGATGGCATACCATAGGTTTTACTGTTACTTTATTCTAAATAATTGATCAAAAACAAAAACAATGTCAAAAATATACCTACCCTAATAATTCTATTCTTATATATTATTTCGATAAGATTTTTTTTCAGTTTCTCGAGTTATTAGATTTTTTTTTTGTAACGTGTTCAATAATTGTATTTTATATTAATATGCTCCTGGACAAAATGATCGCACCACTGCACATAGGCATCACCATAAGCAGTGGTGCGATAATTTTGTCCAGGAGTATAGTTGCATTATGGTTGGTGAATTTTCGCTTGTTTGCAAATCGAAGAATAACTATTTAAACCGCATCTTGCTACGATGAACCGTTTTTGAGTTAAAGCGGTTTACAGTCACGAACGCCTAGGCTTTGACGTCACATCGGATTCGGAGGCACAGCTAAAATACGAGTAAAATTTTCTAAAACAAAAGTTAACGATGTCACTAAGAGGGAATTGCAACCACTTAAAGTATAGGGCACGGTTCACTGACGACTGAACAAACAGAAAGCTGCGATTTCGGCGGTTAGCCGGTGTGACGTCACAAGATTATCTCGGAAACTCTTTTGAATATAGCACTGCGGTTTTCACGAGAGACCTTTAATTTTTTTTTAAAATTTAAGTGGCTTAAGTTTGGGTCATACCGCCTTTAACCACTGTTTAGAGTTTACTCTTTTGTCTGCACAAAATGCTGCGAGTGTGAAAGTCTTCTAGATTACCAATTTCCCAGAAATCAATTATTAATCGACGTTTTCCATAATTTAAATGGGAAATAAAAATACTTTCAACCCTCATTGCGATTTCCATCTGTCAAGATTCAAGTACCTACCTATCAACTTTTATATGCCAACATTCTTTTTTACATAGGGCAATAACCAGCCTCACACAATCAATACCTGGACCATAACTCAATTATTTCCAGGTTGACCTAACCAAAAGCTCTTCCGCAGGAGCCCTTCTTAACCACCCACCCTTTGTCGACTCTTTCCCTCTGACCAACTTGTCGAAAACCGCCGCCGATGGCGTAATCCAATTGCCGGTAACTTCGGCTACAGGAAACGAGGACCAAGAAATTCAAACCGTTCCAGATTACGAATATTTCCCCAATAAGTTGGCCTTCTATCCGAGAAAGGGCTCGGAAGCGACCCCTGGCTTTTTTGACATCAAGTTTTTGGAAACCGCACGAAACGTTCAAAAAGGTAAACAAATTTGGGCCAATATACAATTACTCGATCTCAAGAAAAAGCAAGCTGAAATAGCTAATAAGGGGTTTAATGAATGGCCGATCAAGAGCGAGTTTGAGAAACCCGAAAGTCCAAGTACCCGCCTGCAAGAACCGAAGGCGACCCCTGACATCGAGTTTTTGGCAATCGCACAGAACATTCAAAAATGTAAAAAGATTTGGGCCAATATACAATTGTCCGATTTCAAGAAGCAGGAAGCTGGAATAGCAAATAAAGAGTTGGATGAACGGCCGATCAACAGCAACTTCGGCAAATTGCAAGAACCGAACAGTGTCTTCGCTTCTTCGCCTGAATTGAATGGTCCGCGAAGTGGTTCTGTGACTCTGTTGCAACGTCGCAAATCTCCTTTGCCTACCGGAAATGACGGCAAACAACGTCGCGGGATGGGAAACTCCAACTCTTATGAGCTTCCAGGGGGCGGCATCACAGAAGCTGGACAGTACACTTTAGAGTGTTTGATAAAGAGCCTAAAGATACACGCCTTGGGAGAGAACCTAGAGGTAAATAACTCGTGTTTCAGATTAAATTAAATTGATTTCAATATTTTGTAGGACTTGGATAAAATCCTAATAAAAATCTTCAACAAGGAATATGTGCTCATCAATGAAGTTGTCAGAGAGCTCAAATATTTTACTGAGGTTTGAAATTAATGTATTTTTAGTGCATAATAATTAATAATTTTCTTTTCGTAGATGTGGGATAAGGTTGATCGGCGAAAGTCCGGATGGTATGCGCAAAAAGTAAAATTATTGCTGGAAAAATACTTTCATGGTTACAATTTTGATCACATTGATGGTGACCTAAAGCAGCAGGTGGGTCCTCTGAAGCTCGATATTTTTAGTGATTGCCATCAATTTATTTAGTTTTACTGTTACTTTATTCTAAAAATTAGATCAAAAACAATGTCAAAAATATACCTTAATAACTTGATCCTTAAATATTATTTTGATAAGTTTTTCTTCAGTTTCTCGAGTTAGTAGATTTTTTTTTTGTAACGTGTTTAATAATTGTATGTTATATTAATAGTTGCATTATTGTTGGTCAATTTTAAATTGTTTGCGATTAATAATTCCTGTTTTATAACAACAGTAGTTGCGTTAGCTTTAGTGACTATTTATTCATTTGTAATTTGTCGATAAAATTCGTTGCTTGATGCATCATTGGAAATATAATTTCTTTAACTGTTTTTGTGTTTTTAATTTTAATTTGTTGAATTTCAAACTACATATTCTCTATTCATGTGCAAAATTTCAATCCAATAATCGGCAGATTTTCGTCAAAAAAATAGAACGTGCCTCAATGTTGTTTTTTTGGAAATTTGACTCGAAATTCGATTTTTTCCAAAATGATATTGACACATATTTTGCCTCACAACTTTGTTAGTTTAAATCCAATCTTAACGTAATTAGTTTCAAATTGAAGCCAATAAATCTTGCAATGCCGCTTTTATAATAACGCAGCCGCACATCTTCGAAAAAAAACCAGCAGGTGTAGTAATGCCCTAATACAAAACAAACAAAACAATTCAATAGTTCATTTATCTAACATAACACAACAAGCTGCTTAAGCCTACCAGATTATTCTGATAAAAAAACGGGACATTTTTATGAAGGAGATAGCGCCGCAGCCGATTTTTTTTTTCGGGAACACGCCCCATTTTATTGTTCTTCATTAAATAGTGTCATGGCTTTGGATTGCCGCACAGAAATCTTGGGTTCGTTTCGTTCATTCCAGAAATCAAAGTCCAATTAACACAGCAATAATTTATTCCACTTAACAATACACTCTGACATTAATTACTTTAATAACAAACTCAACAATTGAACTCTTACAACTCGCAATAATCACTATTTAAATCACAGTCAAACTGAAACTGAAAAACTACAATAGCGGCCTTTATATATCCCTAAATCTATTCCGGTAAAATCTAGAATACACACGTTAATCTTATTTTCCCGATAGAATAATTCGCTAGATTCTAGGATATTCGACAGTAGATGCATAGGATACCTGATAGCCTGGCGGACGCCTATTCGGGCGGCAGCGTTATCGTAACACTGCCCTCCGCTTAAGGTTGATCGTCCCGATCAACTTCACGCTCATGATATTTCGCCAATCTGTCCAGATGTACAACTTTCATCTTACTCCTGGTGTTGCGCTGGACTCGATAAACCAAATCATTGATCCTCTTGATTATTCTATAGGGTCCTTCCCATGCTGAAGACAACTTCGGCGATACTCCTTTCTTTCTAGCTGGATTATACAGCCACACTAAATCACCTTATTGAAATCCGGCTGAATTAGCTAGGTCATATCTGGTCTTCATCCAGTCACTGGCTAGTTGAATATGCTCCCGAGCATAATCATGGATACCCAGAAGTCGTGCCCTTACCTCGTCGGCATAATCTCGAATTTCTTTTCGCTCTTCTTCGGATACTCCTAACATCAGATCGCAAGGTAACCTGAGTTCTCTTCCAAAAACGATTCTGGCTGGGCTTTCACCTGTTGACTCGTGAACAGCTGCTCTGTAAGCCATTAAAAATAGAGGCAAGTGTTTGCCCCAATTACACTGGTTCTTTGCGACCACTTTTGTCAGGTGCTCCTCTATGGTCTTATTAAATCGTTCTACCATGCCATCAGACTGTGGATGAAAAGGTGTTGTCCTTGTCTTACGAAATCCCATGATCTCACAAATTTTCTTGGAGACGATTCGGATTCGAAATTTCGTCCTTGATCTGAATGTAACTCGAGTGGCACACCATGACGACTAAAAACTTCGTCCACTAGCACCTGGGCAACATTGATGACTTCTTGATTCGAATTAGCAAAAACTTCTGGCCATTTACCATGATACCCAAGATGTATTGGTAACAAGTACATCTTGGTTATCATGGTAAATGGCTCTGACTCAGGGAACGCTCCAGCAACATCTATCGCTATTCTTTCAAATGGGAGACCGACGTTGTACTGTTTCATGGGCCCCCGAGATCTTAGTTTAGGGCCTTTACTGGTAGCACAGATGTCGCATTTTTGGCACCAGCTTTTAACGTCTTCATGGTAGTGAACCCAGTAAAAACGTTCTCGAATTTTTTTCAGAGTCTTGTTAACTCCAAAATGTGCCCCTGAAGTTCCGTCATGTATTTCTTTTAATACATCTTCCATTCGGTCTTTTGGGATAACCAGTTGGCTCTTAGTGGATTTCCCATCGGCACTTTCCCAAACTCTTTTAAGCAACCCATTTTCTACGGCCAGAGAGTTCCACTGGGACCACAATGCCTTGTAAATCAAGCTCTTGTTTGGCACTTCCCTCCATTCTGGCCTACATTCATCATTTTCCTTAAGATGGAGAATCTGCCCGATGTCCTGGTCTGCTTCCTGATCTTCTCTCATTTGTTTCGTAGTCCACTTGTCATCAACGATCAGGCCCGTTCTTCTCACAACTGGACTAGTGTTCTTCTCATACGGGTTTCCAGTTCGATGTTTTGGACTAGCGTCTCCGGACCTCCAAAAGCTTTGGGAACGATCCCTAGATGGAGAGGACATCCTTAGCCTACAAACCCATTGCATGTGTCCAAGCTTTTCGCAACGGTAACATTTTACTCGGTTTCTTGGTGTTGATGTTTGTTTGGAGTCGTTTTCCATTTGTCTAATTTCTAGTACTAGTTTCTTCATATTCTCAGTGAACTTACGCATAAGATTCTCTAAGCTACCATCTTCTTTAGACGTTTGTTCATCCTTTGGGTCTTGAATGGACACTCCTCGTATTCTGGGTGTTGAGGCACCAAAGATTGCTTACAGTTCTTATGCTCGGATAAGGGCTTCGCTAATTTTCCTGTACTTGGACATTCTTAGGTTTTCCTGGATCTTGGAATCCCGGAGACCATCAATAAACGTAGATACTGCCATCCATTCTTGTATGTCTTCCCCAGCTGCAGGAAACGTCAAACTCACTAGCCTTTAACTTCTGATTCGAATTCTTGTAAACTCTCGCCGGGTTTTTGAATTCTCGATTTGACTTGAGTTCTGAATATTTCTTGCCTATAATGATCTCCGAAGCGCAATTCTAACGTCTGACTTAGATGCTGGTAATTCTGTTGGTAGACTGAAGGAATGGACTGAAGAAGGTCTAAGGCAGGTGCTCGTAGCGCCAATATTAGTGCTGTAGCTTTTTCTTGGTCGTTCCATCCGTTGGTATTTGCAGCAGCTTCAAATTGTCGGATATACATGGTCCAGGACGTAGAACCGTCAAAAGTTGGTGGTTTTATCTTCATACCGGAGAATGCTCCGTACTAGCTGGATTGATGGACTGTATTTCTAATATGCGCACCTTATCTGCGAGTGCTTGAACTTGGTCCTCAACTTCTTGTCTTAATTGCTGAACATCGGCTTCGACCTCAGCTTTTACTCCTTAAACGTCGTGTTTAACTTCTTGAATATCGTCCTTAACTTCGGCTTTTACTTCTTTAATCTTTTGTTCTAGGTTAGCGACAGATCCGTGTATGGTTTGAAATATTTTCTGTAGTTGTCCAAGGTCTTCTTGCCATTCTTTTTGTCGCCTGGCCTCTTCGTCTTGTTTTTCTTGTTGTCGTTTGGTCTTTTGAAGTTCCAACATTTTGCACAGAAGGTCTTCAACTTTTTGTTCGTCCACTTTTGCTTGTTGTCTTGTGATAGGCATATACAGAATGTTCTGGATTATTTCCCTCAAACGCTCTTCAAATATCTTCCCTGGTCTTTTGTTGAAGTTCCAAACACGTCGGTGAAGACACAAATTGGATAACTTGCTTTATTCTCGAATAGAATGTTCGATAATTTTCTTGAAATGTCTTTCCTGGATGTCGATTGACATAACAAACACGTCGGTGAAGTCACAAATTCGATATCTCCCTTAGTTTCCAAATAGAATGTTCTAGAATTTTCCCGAAACTCCTCGAAAAACTTCTTCTGAATGACGATTGATGTTCCGAATACCTCGGCGAAGTCAGAAATTTGATATCTACCTTGGTTTCCAAATAGAATTTTCTAGAACTCACTCGAGGAATCACTATATCACAGTCAAAATCGGGTATAGAGTCACTTCCGGGGTAATTTGCACGATCGGTTAAGTCTCTTTTTGTGATGGTCACTGTTTGCACTGACTTACTGTCCCAGTGTTCACTTAGTGTTCAGTTTTCACACTACACTAGTGTCCCCGTACTATCCTGCAATCGGCTTTCACTGCAGTCCTCAAATTATGTCTGACTTCTGACACCAATTGTCACGGCTTTGGATTGCCGGACAGAAATCTTGAGTTCGTTTCGTTTATTCCAAAAATTAAAGTCCAATTAACACAGGAATAATTTATTCCACTTAACAATACACTCTGACACTATTTACTTTAATAACTAACTCAACAATTAAACTCTTACAACTCGCAACAATAATCACTATTTAAATCGTATCACAGTCAAACTGAAACTGAAAAACTACAAAGCAATAGCGGCCTTTATATATCCCTAAATCTATTCCTGTAAAATTTAAAATACACACTTTAATCTTATTTTCCCGATTAAAGTAGAATAATTCGCTAGATTCTAGGATATTCGACAGTAGATGCATAGGATTCTTGACAGCCTGGCGGACACCTATTCGTGCGGCAGCGTTATCGTAACAATAGCGATCCACTTTGGCGATTTTATCTCAAAAAACGCAAGAATCCAGGAAAAATCTGTAGGCCAAGGATAATACACACTACTACTACAGAATAGCCTATCCTAATAAGACCTGTGTGGAACAAATCTCCCCCCACCACGCCAAATCACCAGTTGTGACGTTGGCAGCATGTCGTTTCTCGCCTTAACGTAGGCTGTTTGCACCACAGGATTCCGCAGGCTTTTGCTTTATGCATACTTGGCTTTACTACATAAATTAGCATTCTAAAACAACTCTTTTTTAGATCTCGTTTTCATCTTCCTCTTTGCCTATTATGTTAATCAAAATTTAATAATAATTTTCTTCATAAATTTAAATTCTAAACTACGACCGCTAGTGCAATTAGCTGACGTCTGACGTCGGACATGGGGCGATTACCAAAAACGAAGCCAATAAGCAATCCTTAATAGTGTATTATCCTTGGGCTCAACCTGCCTAATTTTAAACTGTCAAATGTTTTTGAATAACCGAT